GGAGCCAAATCAATGCAGAAGTCAATATCACTGTCGGGTGGCATACCCGGCAAGTCTGAAGGAAATACCTCAGGAAGCTCACGAACAACAGGCACAGAAGCAATAGAAGGAACATCGGTACTAGAATCACGAACATATGACAAATAAGCCAAATACCCCTTCTCGATCATACTTCGAGCCTTCATGTATAAAATAACACTATGGGTAGAATGACCAGGAGTCCCTCTCCAATCTAAACGAGGTAAACCTGGCAAGGCTAAGGTCACAGTCTTGGCATGACAGTCCAAGATCGCGTGGTGAGGTGATAACCAGTCCATCCCCAAAATGATATCAAAATCAATCATGTCCAGAAGTAACAAATATACACGAGTCTCAAGACCCCCCAATCACAACTATACATGAACGATGGACACGATCTACCATAATAGAATCACCTATAGCGATAGACACATATACAAGAGCACTCAAAGAATCACTAGGCATGACCACATACGGTGCAAAATAAGATGACACATAGGAGTACGTAGATCCTGGATCAAATAGAACTGAAGCATCTCTACTACAAACCAAAATAGTACTTGTGATAACTAAATCGGAAGCCTCAGCCTCAGGTCTGGCTGGAAGAGCATAACATCGAGGCTGGGCCCCACAACTCTGAACTACATCTCTGGGATGGACTACTACTGGCTGGCCTCCACCTCTAGCGGCCTGAGCTCCACCTCTAATACCTATACCTCCACCTCTAGCACCTCCACCTCTAGCACCTCAACCCCTACCTCTAGCTGGTTGGGCGGGCGGTGGAACACTCGATGCCTGAACCATGGCATGGGAACTCTGGTGCTGAGAACTGCTCGGTGCTCGAGGGCAATATCTAGCAATATGCCTCGTGTCGCCACAAGTAAAACAAGCCCTCGGCTGCTGGGACTGACGACCCTGAAAACTCTAAAGCGACGGTGCACTGATAGGAGTTGGTGGTGCACTGTAGGACTGCTGATCAGAATATTGCATATGAGGACCACAGCCACCTGAAGCACCGTGAGAAACCTGAAGTGCTGAATGAAAAAGCCTAGAAGGTTGGCCTCTACCATACAAATCCTTTCCTCCAGATGAGGCGCCACTGAATCTGCCTGAATGACGAGGCCTCTTATCAGACTCCTGACCACCTCTCTGCGATAGAACCATCTCAACTCTCCTAGCCACATTGGCTACCTCCTGGAAAGAAATCTCACTCCCTGTCTCCTCATCCATCTGAAGTCGAATAGGCTGAATGAGTCCCTCAATGAACCTCCTCACTCTCTCTCTCAATGGGGAGTATAAGTAGATCATGACGGGCCAAATCAATAAACCTGGTCTCGTACTGAGTAATAGTCATAGAACCCTGTTGGAAACATTCAACTGTCTTCGATAGATCTCTCTCTGAGTGACGGGAAGAAACTTCTCCAAAAAAAGGTGAGAAAACTGATCCCAAGCCAAAGCTGGTGACCCAACTGGTCTGGCCAAACAATAATCCCTCCACCAAGTCTTGGCGAATCCAGATAAGCAAAAAGTAGCAAAGTCGATCCCATTGGTCTCCAATATCCCCATGTTCCTGAGAACCTCATGACATCTGTCCAAATAATCCTGGGGATCCTCCAAAGATGCACCGCTAAAAGTGGTAGTGAAGAGCTTGGTGAACCTGTCCAATCTCCACAAGGCATCGACAGACATAGCTGCTCTATCACCGGTCTGAGCTACCACATCCGGCTGAACTGCTCCAACTGGCTGAGTTGTTAGAGTCTGAAACTGGGGAGCCATCTGCTCCGAAGTGCGAGTAGTAGGAGTTTGGGCTCCTCCTCCAGCTTGAGAGATGGTTGGTGCTACGATGAAGCAAGTATGCCCGGGTGACACTCTCCATAAGGCCCACTAGACGGACCAGAGCATCTTGGAGTACTGGGGTAGCAATGAACCCCTCTGAGACATGAGCTAGGCCCACCGGAACTTCCTGGGTCGTAACCTCATCATCAAACTCAACCTGAGGCTCCGCCGCTGGTGCTGCTGCTCTAGGCTGAGCTCTGCCCCTACCTCGGCCTCGCCCTCTGCCCCTCGTGGGAGCTGCTGCTGGGGGCTCGGGCTGCTTATCAATTGATGAGGAAGCGTGTGTTCTCGCCATCTAGGAAAGAACAAAGTAGAAATTTAATTAGCATTGAGAAACCAGACCGCACGACAGGAAAGAATAGATGTGAAGTTTTTCCTAACTCTGTAGCCTCTGGGGATAAATACAAATGTCTCCATACCGATCCCTCAGACTCTACTAAGCTTGTCTGTGAATTGTGAGACCTATGTAACCTAGAGTTCTGATACCAACTTGTCACGACCCGGATTTTCCACCCTCGAGAGTCGTGATGGCGCCTACTCGTGGAAGCTACGCAAGCCGAATATTATAAAATCATTACACTTTTTATTAAAAATGTTCGACAATTTAAAATAATAAGTGATTAAACAGCGAAATAAATTAAATAACCAGAAATGCGGAATACGAAAACTTAATAATTCAACCAAACACTGCTACATAATTTAAAGTACAATACTACCCAGAATTTGGTGTCACAAGTCACGGACTATCTAAGAATACTACAAATAAGGTCTGAATGAAATACATAAGTCTGTCTCTGAATACCTCGGGTCGCCTGAATAGACTACCTCGGGTCGCCTGAATGGACTAAAGACAACACCCTCAGTGCGGTCCAAATGCTCCGGTATAAGTATCTGCACACATTGAAGAGTGTAGTATCAGCACAACTGACCCCATGTGCTAGTAAATGCCTAGCCTAACCTCAGCGAAGTAGTGACGAGGCTAGAACCAAACTACCAAATAAACCTGTGCAGTTAATTCAAGCCTCAACTATCGCTTTACCTCTTGATTCCACCACCAATTCGCTCGTCTCCAGCCACAAGTTACTTAACTATATCAATAAATGCTAAATGAATCAATTCCAATGCATGAAAATATGTTTTCTAAAGTTTTTTCCCAAAAAGTCAAAAAATCGTCCCGGGCCCACATGGTCAAAACCCAAGGTTCGAACCAAAACCCGATTACCCATTCCTCCACGAACCCAAATATATAAGTTTTTTGAAATCGGACCTCAAATTGAGGTCCAAATCCCCAAAATTTGAAAAACCTAGGTTCTACCCAAAACACCCAATTTCCTCTATGAAAACCTTTAATTTTGAGTTGAAATCATAAGAAAAGATGTTAAAAATTAATAAAAACAAGTTAGAAATGACTTACAATTGATTTGGAAGAGTGTTTGTCTTTGAAAAATCGCCCAAGAGTGTTTTGGTTTTGAAAGGGTTTGAAAAATTGTTGAAATACGTCTAAGTTATGATTTTGCAGGTTACAGGTGTCGCAATTGCGATCAGGGTTCGCAATTGCGAACCCCTCAGAAAACTGAGCCCTTCGCATTTGCGACCCAGTTTAATTTTCGATCACCTTCGCATTTGCGATAGAACAATCGCATTTGCGACTAAGGTAGCCCAGGTCGATTATCGCATTTGCGAAGCCTGCAGACCTACAACATACCAGCTAAAACCTGCAACTTCCTAAGTCCAAATTTCACTCTATGGCCTATCCAAAACTCACCCGAGCCCTCGGGGCTCCAAACCAAACATGCACACTAATCCAAAAACATCATACGGACTTACTCATGCAATCAAATCATGAAAATAACATGTAAAACTATGTATTAATCCTCAAAACTCATCATTTTCATCAAGAACACTTAAAGTTCATAACTCTTCAACCTGAGGTCCAAATCACGTCAAATAACTCCATTTTTCACCAAATTTCACAATTATCATTTAAATACTTTAACAAGTTTGTACAGGGCTACGGAACCAAAATACGGGCCCGATACCAATGGTTTCAATCATTAATTCTTTTCTTTATTTCATAAATAATTCAGCAAAATAATTTTTTTCAAAAACTTATTTCTAAGGCTTGGGACCTCGGAATTCATTTCCGGGCATACGCCCAAGTTTCATATTTTACTGCGGACCTCCCAGGACCGTCAGAACACAGATCCGGGTCCGTTTGCTCAAAATGTTGACCAAAGTCAACCATATTCAAATTTTAACTCTAGAAATTTCTATATCTCATATTTTCACATAAAAGCTTTTCGGATAAACGTGTCGTTAAGGTATAGCGCCGTGAATAACCCCGCTATATATAAAATGGTAATCCGTTATTTTTTTCACCTATTTTGGTTGTTTGACTCCAAAAAGACCACACTTTGGTTTCGGGCTCTTAAATGTACCTCTCGTTATACTTTGAGTCCAAATATACCCTGTCTTTATACTTTGAGTCCAAATATACCCATATCGTTATGCTATTGGTTCAAATATACTGTTTTTCTGTTAAGTTTGTCCAAAGTGGACATCCAATCCTATGTGGCACTGATATTTGATGAGGCGGATGTCATATGGCTTGCCACCTCAGCGCCCCTAACCCATTTTACCCCTCCTATTTTGTTTTCACCACTAAAATTTCCTCCCCCCCACCACCATTGCTACCATTATCGCTACCATAAAAAATATTGTATTTCAAATTTTAGTCTTTTATATATGGATTATGGGCGCTGAGGTGGTATGTCATGTGTCATCCACCTCATCAAATATCAGTGTCACGTAGGATTGAATGTCCACCTTGAACATTTTTAAAAGAAGAGGAGTATATTAGAATCAATAGTATTATTTGGATCCAAATTATAACAAAGGGTATATTTAAATTTTTTGTTACAGTACAAAGGTATATTTGGCCATTTGTCGTAATTAAATAGACTTCTAGTTTAAGTAAACTTCTCTTGCATGCGCTGGTTAGTTTAAATAGATCAATTTATTTTAATTTTTAAATAGAAGGCCACTTCTCTTTCGCTTATTAGTTTAAGTAGACTTATTTTGCACTAATTAGTTTAAATAGGCTTCTTTTGCACTAATGTTGAAAATAGAACCATCCTCCATGAACACCCATTTGGCTTTCCAAATTGCTGTTTGACCAAGCTGATCTGAAAATTAAGTGCTAGCTAGCTAGTATAAGTTTCGAAAGAGCTTATAGTAAATCTTGAAAGCATTTCTCTCCCACTGAGTAATTGAAAGTAATGGCTTATCCTGCAGTGAACTCTTTAATTCAAACTTTGGAGCTATTCCAAAAGACTTATCCAGCATTGATCCATGGTCAAACTGCAGAGATGATTGACTCTCTCCATGCCAGTGCTGAATATTTTCAAAATATTCTTGAGAACGCTAGCCACCAGAAACAGGAATATGATACATTCAAATATTTTGAGGCAGAGATAAGATCAGCGATGCACCAAGCTGAAGATGTGCTTGAATCAAATGTTGCGGAAATTATGAGAGAATGATGGAGGCAACAAGAAGAGAATAATATTGACGAGACTTTTCAGGATGAAGTAGGGGTTCTTCTTCGAGTCTTGCCTCAAGCGGTAGACAAGATTGATGCTGTAAAGAAATAGGTGAGGCGGATTAACTCCTTCTCCACTGAAACCTATGCTCGTTGCCTTGGCCCCCCTGATGATGAGGATCATTTCTTCAAAAAGGGACATTCTCTGGTAGCTGGTTCTTCTTCAAACCTTGCTCCTACTTCCCTTCTAGGTGATGATGATGATGATGATGATACAGTCGGTTTGGCGAATTCCTTGAGAAAACTCACTGATGCACTACTTGGATTAGCTTCTGAGCAGAACGTCATTCCTATTTTGGGAATGGGTGGATGTGGCAATACCACACTTGCTAAAAAGGCTCAAGATGATCAATCAATTAGATCACATTTTGACATCCAAACGTGGGTTACTATATCTCAAGAATATCACTTAAACGAAGTGTTGCCAAGCCTTGCACGTAGCCTTACAGGATACGAGTTTCAGGGAATGAGTGATGACCAGTTAATGGACCAGTCATATAAAGCACTTAAGGGTCGGAAGTATCTTATCGTAGTTGATGATATTTGGAGTACAAAGATTTGGGATTTGATTGCGAGAACCCTTCCTGATGACAATAATGGAAGTCGAATCATTCTGACTACGAGGCTAAAAGATGTGGCTGAGTATGCTAACCCTGATATCCCTCCTCTTGAAGTGCTGCCGTTAGGGGTAGATGAGAGTTGGAAGTTACTTCAGAATAAGTTGTTGGGGAAAAGCCACATTAATTGTCATTCTGAATTAGAAGATATCGGGAAGAAAATAGTACAAAAATGCCAGGGACTGCCTCTAGCAATTTTGGTGGTTGCTGGGCATCTCTCTAGGATTTCCCCAAAAAGGGAAAACTGGGTAACTGTATCTGAAAATGTGAATGAAGTTGTTACAAGTTATCCGAATGAATGCATAGCAGTGCTTGCGATCAGTTACCATCACCTGCCTATTCACCTCAAACCTTGTTTCCTCCATATGGGAGCATTCCCTGAGGATTCTGAGATTGATGCTTGGCGGTTAATTCGTCTGTGGGTTGCAGAGGGTTTTCTGAAGAGGGATAAGCTGAGAAGCCTGGAAAAAGTGGCAGAGGATTGTTTGGAAGATCTGGCTAGCAGAAATTTAATAATGGTCAAAAGGGGGAAACTCAATGGCCGGATCAAAAATTTGCCGTATGCATGACTTGTTGGGGATGTGAGCGCTTCCGGATGTGTTTAGAACTAATCAAATTCCTAATTTTCATTATGAGACTCCTCGCTTTAGTTTGCATACACGCATTTCAGGGGAAAACTTTACCAAGTCAGCAAAATTTTTGCGTTGCTTGTATCTTTTCAAGGAACCTCATAAAACAATAGGAAAACCATTGGAATTCAAAGCTTTGAGGGTGTTGGCTGCCATTCCTAGGTATCATTTCATCTTCAGGCGTCGCATGACCTTAGATTCAGCTATCTTGAGATTCACATAGACAATCATTTTACTGAATCACTTGAATATATGCATAACCTGCAAACCTTTAGTTTTGTTCATCACAATCTGGAGTGGCGTGGAATTTTAACTTTACCTAACCATATCTGGAATATGAAGCAGCTGAGGCATCTCCGTCTACATGGTAGCACTTATTTGCCCAACCCATATGTGGTAGACGAGTTGGGTCTGCAACATCTGCAGGAGCTTTCCAGTCTCTGTCTTGCTAGCTGTACAAAAGAGGTATTTCTTGGCCTTCCTCATCTAAAGAAATTACGTATCTATGATATCGGGGAAAAATACAAAGCATTAGAGGAAACATGTTGGAGCCTGCTCTACTTGAATAAACTCCGAGTATTAGAGTGTTCCTTTGATGAAGGGAACTCTCTCTGGCTAAATGTTGTTTCCCAATATCGCTAAAGAGATTGACCCTATCTGGAAGTTGGCTTCCCTGGGAAGACATGGCAAATCTTGCCAAGTTACCAAATCTCCAACTACTCAAACTTAGATGTCATGCATTCAGAGGTGAGGTATGGAAATTAAAGGAGGAAGATGAGTTCAAGCAGCTAAAGTTCCTTCTACTTGATGACACAGAGACACAACTCTGGGAGGCTACCAATGTTAACTTTCCAAATCTTCAACGCCTCGTATTGGAGAAAATCAAGATTCTTAGGCGAATTCCTATAGCCTTTGCAGATACATACACCTTGGAGTCAATTGAGTTGTATAAATGCGGTCTAATTGTGGATTCAGCCAGAGAAATTCAGGAGGAAGTAGCTGCCATGGCGGGAAGTGATTGTCTTGCTCTTCGCATATATATATATGAAGGTAACGACTTTCAGAATTAATTGTTGTTTTTCACTTTCCTTTATTTTCTCCTCAACTGTATATATGTTCATATTTTATAGGCTCCCTTCCCTTTCTCATACTTTGGCATCCTATATAAGTAACACTTTATTTAGTTTTTCCACCAAGAATATAATTAATTTTGTTGGAAAATTAAAGAATATAATAGGAGTTATTGGCTTTTCTTTCTTATTGCAGATCTCTACGATTACGTCAAAGAACGCGTTTGAATTCCGTCTAGTACCAGGAATTAAGCTGTATTTTCCAAGATCCAAGAAGCAGTTCACTGAAACGATTTCACAGACTAGTTTCTTTATATTACTTAATTCTTTGTGCTGATACTACATGTAATATTCTAATTAGCTGTAAATAGTAATTTGATCCTTCTTTCTCTTTTTACATTTTTCTTATTACTGTTTCTAAAATTCTCCTTTTTTTCCCGTTCTTAGCCTAAAACTCCTATATAGAGTTCAACTTTGACATGTATTGATTTCCTTTTTTCAGATGTTATTGCAGTACGAACATTGGAATCTCATCATTTCCTTTCCTTTCCTTTGTCTCTCATCATATATATAAAAGATTTTTTAATTGTTGGAATTCCTTTTGTGGTTTATTATTTGTAATATAACCAATATTTTGGTTAGTGAACTCCATCTCACATAAGCATAAGTATATTTGCAAAGTAGACCTTGTTGATAATATTCTTTGGGACCCAAAAATATTGCATTGTGTAATAGATATCATTTGCACAAGCTGTATCTTTTCTCTTACACCTTGGAGGCCAAGGCTTTTTTGCCTACAAAACCAAAGACCATTAGTTCATTTTAGACACACCAACAAGACTTGAGTCTTCATTTCTTGTTTCTTCTTCTCCTCCTTTAGTTATTAAGAGTATTTTGTATGAGAGTTAAGTGTTAGGAAATATTTATGTGAACCCTTTCTTTGGAGTGATCTAGTGGGTTATTCTCTTCGGGTATTTGGGATTAATTAGAGTATTTATTCTAATTTTGTACTCTTATTGGTATGGTGAAATTGCTCTTCTTCGCTTGTGGACGTAGGTCACACTGACTGAACCATATTAAATTGGTATCTTTTTTTTGTCGTTGTTATCAACTTACATTGTCTTTATTATTGACATTATAATATTATTTGGCTAAATTCCGCACTACCTGAGTTTCGGATCCTAACATTATCAATAGCTAGCATATGGACTTACTACAGTACAGGCAGCTCCTACATATTTCAGTCACAATTAGGTGAAAGTTGTCCTTATGCTCATCTTACATTATCATTTTGGAGGATGTAAGAGGGAAATAAATACACACACTTATATCTTCAGAGAGTTCAACTCTTACAAAAGGGTTAATTACACAGTCACTCAGTTTATAATTGCACGAAAATCCTAAACTTATTTTTCTAAACACAAAATCACTCGACTTTCACTAAATTTCTTAAAATAATTATATTTGGCGATAATAAGTCATCGATCGTCGGAAAATAAAAGGCAAAAACCCCTTTCGTCTTCATTTCGACCGGTCCTCCTCCTTCTTAGAGGTATGTTTTCTGTTTTTTAAAACTATTTTTCCTATTTTTAATATGTTTTCAATGTATATTTTTTTAAATATATTTTTTAAGTTTTTTCTTAGGAAATTTAGATATTTTATGGAGTATTTTTATTCTGTTACTGATTATGTCCATTTTCTTTGGAGTTCAAATGTATTATCTCTAGTGATCATTTATGTTTTTTTTTTTTCCATGAAGTAGATACTAGTATTTTTCTACTATTTAGAAATGAGAGTTTGAAAGGACGAACACTGCTCTAGGTGGTTGTACAAAAAGTTTTAAGCGTTGTACTCTTAGCATTGCGAACTCTTCTAAGGTTAAATTGGTAATACTTATAATATTAGTTCTAAAGACTTTTACTGATACGCTATAAACACGCGTCTTGCTTGTTTTGATACTCTACCATGGTCATTGTCGAATCCTATCCCCTTTTCTTTTACTTCTCTATCTAACTGATCCGTTTCTCCTTTTTGAGAGTTTCTCAAATATTTTCTGATTCTCTATCCGATGTTCACTAATTCAAAGTGTGAACTTTGTTTTGGTGAGTTTTTCTTTGCATCTGTTTTATTGTTTGTTGCACCTTTTTCGTTGCTAATCGCTATCTGCTGGATGTATGTTAGTTTCCTATATTCTCTCTCTCTCTCTCATTCTGTCTCACTCCCTTTTTGGGTTCTTTTTGGTAGTTTATTGTTGGATTTTCTACATGCATGTCAGTAATTTGGTCTGATATTCTCATACATGTCTGGTATTTGATCCTTAGTGCAACAGAGATTGAAGATTGTTTTCCCTGATTACATTTTGCGTCTCTAACTTATATTTTATGCATGTGATTCAATCCTCACAGATCAGTAATCTTTAGGAGATTTATTTTGCTGGTGATTTCTTCCCATCTTTATTGACCTATTAGTTAGACTTGCTAGAATTTGGGAGAAACGAATGATGGTTGAGTGTGTAACATTAATTGAGATTTTTATGCTATTAATATGTGTTATTATTTATGTTGTATGGATTGAGTTTGTTTTTGTAATTCAGTTGCTTACTGTTGAAGAACCAGCCATTCAATTATTGGAAACCATCAACTTACTTTCTTTAACTCTGTATAATTCCTTTTGTAATTTGATTCGGCGAGTTAACTGTATGTTTTTTTTTTCAATTTCTCGAAGGACTAGAGTCGATGCTAAAATGATGTTCTTTAGAAAGTAGTTTCAGTGGTATATTGTTCATGTGAGTGATTATTTTTACTTTGTCCCGTGAGTAATTATTCCAAATTGATCTTACTGATGAAAGTGAGTTAACAATCGCTACAATTTCTGGTGATCTTGGAGAAAAGTTGCTTTCAATGACAGCTTAAGAAATCTACCCAACAATTTTCGTCAAGGTATATATTCAACCAATTATACATATTGTCTACTAAAATTTCAGTACCTATAAATTTAGAATTAATCATGGCTACTTCATCGGTAGATGATTCTAGTTTGATGGCTAAAATATTCATCTTTTATTGGTTGATCAATTCTTTTTTATATTTCTGACTTAATTTAGTAGTCAAACAAGTTCTGCAGGGCTTTGCATTTCTTTAGCTACTTTGAGATTTTTTGGCAGCTTCCAATTGGGGGATATAATTAATACTTTGGGGAATCAAAGTATTCTTATTTTTTATGTATGCTCTTTATAGATTTCTTCTCCTACTCTTTATATCTAAAGAACTTGAATTGTTTCATCTTCAATGAAGATTATATGCGTTAAGCATGTCCAAGAACAACTGTGTGACGATCTGGCCGGTCGTATTAACAATTAATGCCCCGATCCCCTATTAACTGCTTTCCCCGAGTTTATTTCTACTAATTTGATTTGCCGAGATGTTCGGTTTTGAGTTTCGGAGAGTTTTGGGACACTTAGTTCCTAAATGAGAGTTTAAGTGTTGGAAAGTTGACCGTAGTCGGAACAATGCAAAGACGGCCTCGGAATGGAAATCCGATGATTCCTTAGCTCCGTTGGGTGATTTTGTTTTACGGGCGTGTTCGGATTGTATTTTGGAGGTCCGTAGCTAATTTAGGCTTGAAGTGCCGAAAGGTAAAATTTTGAAGTTTCCGGTTCGATAGTGAGATTTTGATCTGAGGGTCGGAATGGAATTCCAGAAGTTGGAGTAGCTCCGTAGTGTTTAATGTGACGTGTGTGCTCCGTTGGATTTGATAGACTTTTTGATCGAAAGCATATTTTTAGAGTTTTTGAAATTCTTAAGCTTGAATCCAATGAAAAATAGGTGTTTTGAAGTTGTTTTGAGCGTTCCGAAGGTTCGAACAAGTTTGAATGAAGTTATGGAATATGTTGGTAGGTTTGGTTGAGGTCCTGGGGGCCTCGAGTGAGTTTCGGGTGGTCAATCGAGCCATTTCATGATGTTTGAAGTTGCAGAAAACTGATGTGTGTGTTGCAGACCAGTAGCTCTTTGCGTTCATAAGTGGACCCTCGCATTCGCGATGGAGGTCCCGCGTTCGCGAAGGGATGAGGTCTTTGAACTACGCGTTCGCGAGAAGGGAGTCGCGTTCGCGATGGGCTGGGAAGCTGAGCCTTCACGTTCGCGAATAAAGGGGCGCGTTCGCGAAGAAGGAAAAGTGGTCAACGTCAATTTGTGCTTCGCGAACGCCAGTCTTTGACCGTGTTCGCGAAGAAGGATTTAAATACCTGGCAGAATAATTTAGAAGGCCTATTCCGCGGTTTTGAGCCTAAGTTCCTCCATTTTGGGCGATTTTGAAGCTTTTTGAAGGGGATTAAAGAGGGATTCAAGAGGAATCACTTGGAGGTAATATTTTTGACTTCATAACTCGTTATATGTGATTAAAGACCTAATTGGTGGTGAAGAATTTGGGAAAAATGGGTAATTAGGGCTTGAGATTAAGAGACCTTAACATGGGTATTTAGGGGGTCAATTGAACTCTGATTTCAGTGTTCTTGTTATGTATAGACTCGTGAGGGTACGAGGTTTCTGAAAATGTAAATTTTAGCTTAGAATTTCTTTGTAGAATCAGTTACTTGAAGTGTTATTTACGTTATGAAATTGAATTGAATAGATTTGGGTCATTTGGAGTCGAGTACTCGTGGCAAGAGCGTGGTTTAGGATTGATTATTGAGCCGCTTTGAGGTAAGTGACTTGTCTAACCTTGTGTGGGGGACATTCCCTTAGGATTTGGTATATTTGGTTATTGAAATACCTTGTACGTGAGGTGACGAGTGCGTACTTGTGCTAATTGTTGTAAATTTGTTTTTCATTAAGTAATTACTAGTATGTTTTCTTTTCTATTTTTATTACTTGCATTATTAAGCCTGTTGTTAGCTTAGGAAAGCATGTCTAAGTGACTTAATTGCTTTACTTGCTCAAACTGTCTTACCTGAATTCTGTGCAGCATGCTAGGCTAGAATTACTTGTTTGCCTTAATATGAAATTTGTCATTTCTGAATATTTTCCTGTTGCTGCTGTGTATTTACATTGGGACTACGGATGTGGGGTTCCGGTAGATCCCCCTTGTCTGTTTATTTGGGACTACGGATGTGAGATTCCGGTAGATCCCCCTTGTCTATTTATTTGGGATTATAGATGTGGGTTTCCGGTAGATCTCCCTTGTCTGTTTAATTGGGACTACGGATGTGTGATTCTGGTAGATCCCTCTACATAGTTATATGGAACTACGGGACTGCACATGGCAGATTCTCCCAGTACTAGGTATTTATATTTGGGACTATGGATCGGGATTCCGGTAGATCCCCGCGCACTGATAGTTGGACTACGGGACGGGATCCCGAGAGATCTTTTGGATACATATGATGGACTACGGGACGGTATCCCAGGAGATCCACTGGATAGATGTAATTGGGACTACAAGACGGTATCCTGGAAGGTACCCCGGTTGTTATC